ACGGCGAACCGGCAGTGAGTGCATTCGACTAAAAAAACTCAAATTTGCGCGCATACTTACTCCACGCTACGCAGGCAAAACAGTAAACAGCACAAAATATAGACTGTGAACAGAAGAATTACGCGGAAATTCCAATAGGGGGGATTATAGCAACCACTCGTGTCTTACAGTCGCACAGTTATACCAATGCAAAAGGGTAGGGGGGACGAACAATACCCACCCCACGCGAACCGGGCGCACAGCAAACACTGTGCGAGGCAACACACACTGCGCTAGGAAGCGACAGAGACAGACGGTAGCTACTATTGGGGGGAAAACAATTGCATCAACATCAGCTCTGGCTCGAACGACAGAGCAAAACGCATAGATCTCTTTGATGTCACTACTTGAAAAAGCCTCCTGCTAGAACGCGAAACGTTAGCAGGTACGTTTGAACCGCACGGTTGAGTAGAAACCAACCAAGTTATCTCTTTATTTATTCGTTCCTTTGTACGCAGCTTCTGATCTCGACTAAAGAAACCCGTTGATAATCATCCGGTACAGGTATTTTGCACGAAGGTTCGGTGCTGAAAGAGTGTAGAATATTACATTCCATGATCGATCGATTACATGCTATAGGTACATCTACACAACTCTCACGCTGGCGGTTGATAAAAGTTCACTTTGCAAATGAACGACTAACTCACGTTACTGGAATAACAACGACCACGAGGCTTTGTTATGGCGTCCCACACTTCTACGTGTATACACTATAGTTGATTTTTATGATACATAGGCTATACATTACGTAGCATTATCAGAGACCTTTCTTACCAAGTACGCGCTCAGTTTTACATTGATAGCAATTACAATATAAATTTCCATTAAACTACACAATATCTCATTACAGTGCCAACATATTCACATATTTATAACTCATATATATGTCTGATAGAACACAATTTGTCCGCTATATCTTAAAGCACGATTCAGACGAAATGCTTCTTGTTATGTGCGATACACGCATCACCATGGCAACAACGGCTAGGCGGCGTTTTCACGTTTTCCTCCCGTTCGTAAAACTAGGGAAGAATGCGACGAACGTTACCAGCGTGTGTTTTAACGGGTCTAAATCAAAAGCTTTCCCAGCAACAACTTCCTGATAACCGCCCCTGAAAAACACACGCGGGGGGGGGGGGTCGCGAGTATCTGTAATTCACCAGATATACATCATCGCGCCCTCTGGTGGCAAAACCGCGGCCAGGACCGCCCGCTGCAGACGCCGCACAAGAAACATTTCACCTCCCCGTCATCGCACAACGTTCGACCAGCTACACACACGGGGTAGGGGGAGGTCCAATGGTCAGTTAACAAATTGTCAGCGCGTAACGGCCCTGCGCATGCGCGCGCGTACGGCAGGCAGACGACAGTGCTAGGATTGGCGAAGCTGTCTCCGACCATCGACAACTCTCCGCGCTCGTACGCGCAGTTAAACACCAGTATCCAATAAATAAATTTAGAACCCGCGTCGCAGTTCGGCACCGCGGTGTCATAATGGACATTTTGCGGCTGCGGTTGCCACCACCGTGGGCAATACCTACAAGGAGTATTAGCTCGGCAGAGGGCTCACGTTGGGGGCAGAAGGAGAAGGGGAGATGCAGCAGGAGGGAGGGAGAAAGGCATGGCGATTGAGATGTGTGGTTAGTAAAGTGAGGGTGGGACGTACCGGGTGTGTGTTGGACCGGAGGGACGGGAGGGAGAGAGGGACTGGTGGCTGGGTGTGAACTGGATGAGGGCAGAGAGAGAGAGGGACCGTGTGTAGGGGTGGGACTGAAGAATTGATGGGTGGGTGTGAATGGAAGGAGGGGAGGGAGACAGGAACGCGCTGTGGGTGGGACCAAAGGGAGAAGAGGAAGCAAGAGACCTAGGGCAAGAATGGGGGAGGGGAGGGAGTGAGCGACCTTTACGGAGGTCGTGCGTTATTTACACGGTGGTGACGGATAGCAGCTTGCTGCCCGGCGCTGTCAGCGTCTGTCCGCCATGAACCATCATCTCCTGCACCGTCACAAAGTCGTCAAACTTCTTCCCCTTCATCTGCCTCTTCTCCATCTTCTTCTGGCTCAGCTCGAGGATGCTCGGCCGCTTGCGTCCGTCCTCGCCCACCGCCTCCTTCAGGCTCTCCATGCGCGCGCGCTGCATGTACTCGCGACGTCGCTTCTGGTCGCGCGCGCGTTCCAGGTGGCGCTTGCGCTCCTCCTTCGACCAGTAGCGGCCGACCTTGAGCTCGCTCATCGTGTCGTCGTCCGTCGTCATGCCGCAGCGCTCCTCCAGCAGCTTCGTCTCGCGGTCCTTGAGGATGCGGTTCCGCACGGGCCGCCGCGTGATGTAGCGGGTGCCGTCCGCGCGCCGCTTCACCTTCCACTCGACCTCGACGCCCTCCGGGATCTGAGACATCTCGCTGCCGAGCGTCGAGTCGAGGTAGCACCCGGCGCGGGGGTCGAGGCGGCCCTGCCTCGCGAGCCGGTCCTGCAGCATGCGCTGCTGCAGGAGTATCGTGTGCTGAAGATGCTCCGGGTTCGTGTACATCGTCTCGGCGACCTCGGGGGCGGGGGAGGGGGAGGGGGCGGTGCCGCGCGTGCGTTCCCGCTCGCGCCGCCGCCGCTCCTCGTAGCGTTCCCGCGTGCGCTCCGGATCGCAGAGCGACATCGTCGACTCGCGGTGGTCGTTGCCGTTGACGACGACGTTCGCGTGCGTCGGCGGCGGCGGCGTCAGCTCCAGCGTCAGCGGCGTGCTGCGGCAGCTGTGGCCGCTCTCTCCTGTGTTGTACGCGCTCGACGAGTCCTTCTCCTTCTCCTCGACCTTGCGCGTCCTTCCCCCTCCTCCGCCGCTGCGCCGCCCGCCCTCCCGCCCGCTGTCGGACCCCCCGATGACTCGCCACGCGTCCGGCGATTCCTCCGGGGCCGCCACGGTCGCGGGCGGCGGCGGCGGGGACTGGGCGAGCAGGCGTTGCTCCTCGCGTGCGTGGTTCTGCACTATCGACTGACACTCCAACTGAATGTTCTCCATCTCGCGGTGCAGGGCTTCCAGCTCGCGGTCGATGCTGCTCTGGGAGTCGACCCGCGCCTGCAGCGGCGGCATCGTCGTCGTCGTCACGCTGGCCTCGTCCTGCGAGCTCAGCTTCGTCTCGAGGGCTTCGCGGAATCCGACCCGCGCGTCGCCGGCGGACGCGGAGTTGGCGATGACGTCGCTGCTGCAGAACTCGTGTTCGTTCGACGTGAAGCTGTCGTTGCTGCCGAGGTTGCTATCGTCTGCGCCGCCGCCGCCGCCGCCGCCGCGTCGGCTGCTCGGCGACGCGCACTCCGTCTCGTTCATCTCCGGCTCGGACGACTCGTCGTTCTTCGTCGACTCGTCCGTGCGGCCTACCCCGCTGTCCTTCTCGTGTTTCTCCTGACCGCCGGAGCCATCCAGCGCTCCATCATCGTCGCCGCCGCCTCGGCCGCCCTGCAAGCATGACGCAAAGATGATGCGTGAGGTCAGATATGATGACGTGTGGGGTCAGCATTGATGACGCGAGGGGGTCAGATATGATGACGTGTGGGGTCAGCATTGATGACGCGAGGGGGTCAGATATGATGATGTGTAGGGTCAACTCGTATATACTCGCTATGACATGAGGTCAACTCTGTAATTCTCTATTCTCTATATCTTGTTTATAAAAATATATTTATTTATACATATATTTTTATAAAATATGTAATTACGTATATTAAAATTATCTGTATGATATATCTTATTTATTTTAATTATATTATATTTAATCAATCAATGAATCAATTTTAATTCAATCTATCAATCACACAATAAACACGCAAAGCAATAGCAAAAGCAAAATCAATAAAGAATTCAATATATAGTAATTGGGCACTAGCCAGTTGCGCAATTGATTGGCACATTTTTTCCTGCGAACGCAAGCTATTATTAATAATCCTGTATTGAAACAGCGGGAGACGATTTTTTCTCAAAAAATCAAGATGCTGCTGTTGATTTTAGAAAAGCGAGCATTTCGACGTTTTTTGCAAAATTGGGGCGGGGGCAGCAGATGGTTATAACGTTGGAAGAGGAGGAGGAGCAGGAAGAGGAGGAGGACGAGGACACGGCTTTGCACCAGCCAGCTTCCCCCTTCAGAAATCGTTAAATCGCCAATCAATGTCAAAAATAGGAGCAAAAAAGCGGCTCTTATTCGCATGACAACTAACCAAACAGAGTCGGCGCTTGTTTGCACATCGCCGTGGCAACCGCAGAGTCGCAGCGAAAACAGAGCGGCCGCAGCGAATCAATTAGGACAACAAGGACAACACACATGGCCCAATTAATCTTAAACTTCTTTAGTCGAGAGACGACTACGGCTGCGATGTCGGGAAGGGAAGCTAGCTATAGGTAAACCTGTCATGTGCACGCGCCTCAAGTGGTGCTAAGAGGAGAAAGCGTGAATGTGTGAATGTCGAGGTCTCACTAAGGAATTCCCTATTGCAACGATAACAGGTTTCTCTCGTGTGGCGAGCAAAAGGAATCTCACGAAACACGAATTCGCTCAGGCCTCAACAAAAGGAATGCATCTATTTCAGTCGGTTCGTTGGGTGAGTGTGTGGGGGAGGAAAGTTTGATATTTTTTTTATTTACGATATGCGTATAGAACGCTATGTTTTTATTAACGATATGTTACGATAGATGGCGCTACTGCTGACCTGGGCTGTGAACTGCATGTTCTGCCTGTGCTGCTGCTCCAGCATCTCTATCTGCAGCTCGTCCAAGTAGACACTAGTGTGCTCATCCAGAAAGCCATCGTCCACCTGGAGACAGAGTATGGCAAATTTAGTTTCAAAATTATGGGGCACAAACCGCAAGCGTACAAATGTGCACGTTAAGATCTAGCAAACGAGTGAGTGTGAGTGTGAGTGCAGACCATGCTTTGGTTAGTTGGAAGACACAGGGAAAAAAATGAAGATGCAGTTATTACGGCTGTAGGTGACGTCACGTTGTTGTGGTTAATTACGATGTTTAAAGCGAGCGTTTGTTCGTTGTTAGTCGCAGCTGACGGTGGGTGCGGGCCGTGCTCACGCGCGCACGCACGCGCGCACGCACGCGCACACGCACGCACGCACGCACGCGCGCACGCAAGCAGATATGTACGAATGCATACACGCAAGCATACTAGCAAGCAAGCACGCACGCACATACGTACACACGCACGCACGCACGCACACACGCACGCACACGACTCCCGCCGATGCGCAGGCGGCAGGCGCGATGCGCAGCGTCTGCGTGCGTGCGTGCGTGCGTGCGCGATTCCACGCATAATAGCTAGTCCAGGATTTCACACACGCGCGCGCACGATAATCAATGCAGCAGCAGCGGCAGCGTGAGACACGAGCAGCAGTTTTGCTTGTCCGACAACATTCCAACAGAACTAATGCTAATACTCATCCGTATTGACTCGCGCGATATCTACCACACTGCCAGTAGCTAGCTAGCGCTGCAACGTCACTACAGCTGCCCCTCACACCACTGCAGCCGGGAGAACAACTCAGAATATTGCAAGATTGACGGTAAATTTACGCAAAATCGCGGACACAGCAAAAGTGACGATGAGTGGATCTAGGAAGATGAACTACGCATGTGGTTGTGTTGTGAATTTGTGAAATGTTTCACGAATTTGCTTAAACGGTGATTATAAACGGGCGTATCGTTTAGGTAATGCGAAATACTTCATTTCAGTTATGATGGGATTAGAGATTTTGGCTTAAACAGTGGCGCAGCATTAGTGTTGTGTAAATAGCCAGTGGCCCCCAACCGTACTGCACTTACATTACTAAGGCAATCTTGTTAACGGATGAGCCATGAATGGGGAGAAAGTCTGCGCCAACATTTGCTGCCGTGCAACAAATTTGGTTCAAGGTGAGTGAGGTATTTCACAAAGCAAAAGTCAATTTTCTGCCACACTTCAAATGGTGTGTGCCGCCCCCTCCTCTCTCGGTCTCTCCCCCCCCCTCTTTCTCTATCTCTCTCGCTCTCTTTCTCTTCTCTCTGGACCGCCCACCTGCCTTTGCTTACTCTCTCTCGTTAACTCCCTCTATTCAGAAATGTAAGGTAAGCAATGCCATCTGCACTCCGATCCAACATTCCAAACACTCCACACGAAAATCCTTGCGGGTGAAGTCACCACCGCGTTTACCCTTCCTCCCTCCCCTCTCCTAGCTCCTCCTCAAGCATTCGAAAGCTGTCAGCTAATATTTATAATGAGCTTCAACTCAGGATATCCACCTAAACCACAAGAACGACGACCGCGGCGCCGACGACGTATCGACGTAAAGTCGAGTTAAGCCAAGGTTGCGAACGCTGCACGAGCACGACGAACGACCCTGCACTGCTCCTCAGCCCGCCAGCGACGTCAAAGGTCAAAGCAGTTTCGCGGCACTTAAGTTCAAAGAGCTCCGAAATGCGCGGCGGCGGAGCGATGCGCACGACGTCTGTCCGTCCGAAGGCCGCCAATATTCACAATCTGATCGAGTGCTTCTTCACAAGACCGCCGGACTCACTTCGTACGGAATTCCCTCTCGGTACAAACACGCCGCCACTGCCGCTGCAGCCGCAAAGAAAAGGCAGCGCGGTTCCTACTCGCGGAAACAAAAGCTCGCCAAAGCGCGCCCATTTTTAAGAGATTGCCGCGTCAAGGTTGGCGATTATCGCCGCGAAAAAAATACACGCCTGTGTTCGAGTCGTATTGAAAAGGAACCTACCTTTCTTTTTTGGCATAGCCTACGCGCAGGCCGCCACGGCTTAAACGTGTGCGGTCAGCGAATGAGGGTGAGCGCTAACAACAAGCCGTATATATACGTCGTACACGCGTGCGATACCACAAGCCAACAAGCCACGCAGAGACACACGAGCAGGGAACCTAGCAGGAGCACATCTCACGTGTCCACTACCCACCTCCCCCTCCTCCAACCCTCCACGTCTGATCGGTATTTTACGGAATTGATGTTTTCTGTCTTTTGGTGCATACGGGAACGTCGGGATTTCGCGTGGACGTTTGGATCGTTGGAGTGATGGCGTTCCTTTCGCTCATAGGGTCTATGTCCCCCCAGGGTACTGCCGGGTACTGCCCAGGAAACCCTGGTAACTATTTGATATGGTTTGGGTTAGGGTAGGGTTAGGGTTAGGGTTAGGGTTAGGGATAGGGAGTAAGCGTCGGCGACTCCCTAGACTCGTTAGTGGAGTAGGCGAGGTACGGTCCGGCATATTAGATAGTTACCAGGATACGTTCCGGCAGTACGCTGGGGTGCATAGACACTCTCAGCCTTAGTACGGGGTTACTCGCGGCTTTTTACGCATACGCAACTCTGACGTTGTCTCTAATAACTGCAGTAACGTATTGCTTCGAGCTTGACACTCTCAGCGTTACTTTCCCCCGGTGCGCTATATGGTGGACACATAGTGTAACGTGGTGAAGTTAACGTGTCT